GGCTCAGACCCTGGAGCTAGACCGGGGCATTCTGGGAAGTGTAGTCCTTTGGGAGTTAGGAGGGCCTGCCAGGATTTCCGGGGGCCTTTGGATAAGGAGCAACCCAGGAAGACCAGAGAGCAAGGGGCTTACCCTGATCCTAATCCCAGGGTGGACGTTTAACATTCCTGGGAAAGAGCTGAAAGGACACCGGCCAGCCAGTGCCGAGATCCCAGCCCCAGATCACACACTCCCAGCGGTTTTTCTGGGCAAGCTGTCCGGGGCTCTTATTTTGGTGGGGAGACCTGGGAACTTCCCAGAGAGGAAAGGCCCAGGCCAAAGTGTACCCACTCCTGTCCTCCTTGGTCTGCTGCCACCAGATACCAGAAGAGAGAAGCACCCACCAGAGCAGGGGTTCGACCTGCAGGCTCCAGACAGGCTGCAGTGCACCCCGGCCTCTCCACGTTATTTATGCTCACAGTCCACTCTGATGACATACATAAGTTGACAGTGAACATCCTATCAACTTGCTGGAGTGTATCTTGATGGTTAAAACACACTCTTAAAGGTGTACCGTTATTTATCAAATTAAAATCACCTTTGCTTTGCCTGTCCCTGCCCCCCCCCCCCCCGCAGCCTTCCTCCTCCTCCCCCTCTTGGGCATCCTGCCCTGGTGTCCAGGCCCTGGCACCCCGGGGACACTGCCCCTGCTGCTAGGGACCCTCGACTCAGGTGCCACCTCCCCACCCCGCCCCAGGCCAGGGCAAGCCCACTAATTGCCAAGATGTGACAAACACCAGAAGCCCCACCAATTAAATTTAAACTCATGCAAAGCTCAGTGGCTAGTAAATTATTATTTTTATTAGCTTGAACCAAGTTCCCGTAAGAGAGAAAGTCAACTCGCTCCCATGAATGGCTCTTGTATAATTTATTTAACTCTGCGCTCTTTGCCAAAGCCTGGAATATTTTTAGCTCGTTCTGTTGTTGGATTTGGCTTTTTTATGTGTGTTTCTGAGGGGTATTTTTAGCTTCATCCATGTTATGCTAACAGCCTCCTATGTGTTGTGTCCTGTCTGTGCGGGCTGTTGAACCCTGTCTCGCAGCAGAGGAGGGAGATTTCTAAGAATAACCGGGGAGCGTATGGGGGTGCGGTGTTTTCCAGGGGCGAGGTGTGATCTGCACCAGACCACTCCCTGCTTCGCTGGCTAATCGGCCTTATTACTCACGTGACCTGGGTATTCCTATAGGAAAATCCTTATAGGAATAATCAGACATGGGGGCAGCACATGCCCCGCTGAGAAAAAACCCACATTCCCAAAATGGCTTTGGTGGGGCAGGCAAAGCCAGCCGCAGCCGGGCAGGTCCGGGAGCGAGCTGGATTCCCGGGCTGGGCGCTGGCAGAGGCTTTGAAGTCTGGTTCTGTCACTTACAAAGCAGGATGGGTAGAGGCTTTGGAAAGTAACTCTTTTCACACCTACTTAATGTTGGTAACTGTTGCAGAAACACTCCCTTGTGTCATTGAGTTAATGAGGTATTTACGAAAATGTATTTTTTTTCCCCTTTACAAAAAAATATCACATGGGAGGGAGGGAAAACCTTTGATGGGGTCTTTTCACACTCGGAAATTATCTTTTTTCCTCTACTGCGTTTTTCTTTCTGAGGCTGGCGATCGAAGCACGTGGAGCAGGAAGAAGTCTGCAGTTACCCACCAGAGGGGACTCGCCGTCCTGTTTATTCCAACACCCCTGGCCCAGGGCGCCTCGCTTAAGACTGAGCCATTTACATCCCAAAGGAGACAGAAGAAGCGGAGAGAAGCCAAACTACAGCCAGACTTCAGGAACCTGGCTGGAAAGGTCCCCTCCACCTTCCTGGTGCCTTCCTGGGGGAGACCGGGGGATTCTCAAAGGCTCGCCCCTCCCGGAGACACACAGCGAATGGAGGGTAGGACCTGGCCCTGGGGAGAGGGGCTGGCGGCTCCTCCCCAGGCCAGGCTGCCTCCTCACTCACTGCGCTCCGCTCCGGGAGAGCACCATCCCCACTCGCTCCAGGCAGCGATGCTGATGGAAAACCTTGGGCTGGTGCGCGGTTGGTTTTCCTTTTTTTCCCCTTAGATTTCACAGCTTTGCCTCTAGACCATCTGTATTAGAAACAAAATCTAACACTGCACTAAAAATAACGACTCCAAACATTCTAATTGCACCTTTTGGTGACAAGGTTACTGGAACAGCACTTTACCACGAAACCCTACAGCCCGATGATAGAGCTATGGGCACTTTCATTTTTAGAGAAACAACAGAAGTGGCCCTGGAGCCCAACGTCCCATCAGGGTCCCTCGAGCTGACATTTTAAAAGCACTGGGTGGGGACGAGGGAGAACAGACCGGCGTGGGGCAGGGACACAGACCCCTGGCCCAGCCCTGGTGGCCTTGACAGGGACGAGCAGTCCTCCAAAGCCAGGGGCTCCATCTCTGGGGCTGGACCCCACTCCCCTGCTTGAGCCTGGCAAATGGGAGGTAGCTCGGAGCAATTCTCCTGCAGGGAGCGGCCGGTGGAGGGAGCGGGGGCTGCTGCAGCCTGGGCCTGCAGACCTAAGGCCATCACAGAACCGGGGAGAAAGTCCCCCTAACTGGCCATTTGGAAATCCGCACACGAGATGTAAAAACAATTTTTAACTTAATTATACTTTTTTCTTTCTAAACTAGATCGTATATAAATACAGACCAAAGCAAAGGGATGGAGGGTACAATTCTTTTTTAAAAAAAAACGATGTAGCTCAATTTTAGAAACCAATACAATATTCTGGCTTTCACTAATCTTGAAAGGCTTTTCCAGTAGCAGATGTTTCTCGATGGACGCCCTCCCGGCCAGCCTTCCCTTCACAAATGGGTTGAACGTCTCCAACCACAATAGGTCTCTCTCAGGTCCCCCAGGGAGTGTAACCTGCCTCCAGAAGCAGGGGACACATGGCCCTCCAGCCCCCTCTGAGGGTGCCCCGGGGTCCTCCAGCACCCTCTAGAGCACCCTGCATATGGGGAAGGTGGTGGGGTCAAGGACACAGACCAGGCCAGCACCCACCCAATTTCTCCAAACCCTCCATGGCCTGAGCCACGTGGTCAAACTTGCAATGAGCAAGACAATGGTTTGGGCCACCGACCACGGTCCCACCTGACTCGGTGATGCCTGGATGTGGAAACAGGGGCCCAAAGGGGAATTGGCAGCTAACCAGGACCAGGCCAGCCTAGGGGGGCTGGGAAATAGGGAGGGGGACTCCGCCTGGCTACATCTCCCCAGGGGGTGGCCCCAGCTTGCCTTTGTACTACTCCCTGGAAAGCCTGGGTGTTGAGGGCTCTTCAGACCCTTGTTTTCACGGCGCTGGTACCTGCCAGGCTAGAGGGGGGTTGGGGAGATGCAGTCACTCCCTCCCCATCCCCCAACCTGTAGGCTCAGCCTCCCCCCAGCCTCCAGCAGAAGGGGCTGGTAGGGAAGCAAGCTGTGGGCCCCCACCTACAGCCCCCCAGCGTGAGATGAGCGGGGGCAGGAGAGACACCTCCACAGGGACAGCCAGGACAGATATTTTTAAATCACCAATTGCCCAGGGAGTACTTTCTCTCTTTTGAGTTATAAATCTAGAGGAGGAAAAAGGGAGAGAAAGGAGGAAGAGGGCAGCCTAGGGGAAGGCTAGGTGCAGGAAGCCGCTGGAGCTGGGTCTGGGGAGGGCCGGGGTGCCAGCCTCCCCACTGGGGAATAACTTTTTTAATCTCCTCACGTTGTAGATGCTAAAAGCCCACTTCTAATTAAGCAACGTCTAGTATTTTTTCCTCTTTAGGAAATCCATGTTTTCCTTTTTGGCCACCCTCCTTCCCACATTCCCCCTTCTAGCCTGCCTCTGCCATCCGTTTTAATCCACACACTAATTGTAATCCCATTAAAGCAGATATAATTTTATTAGTATTCACAGTCCATCAAGCTAGTAATAATAACTGTTACTGCCAAATTAACAACAACAAAAAGGGGCAAACATTTCTGATGTTCAGAACAAACTGTAACCCCAAACAAGCCAACCTTCCCGGGTGACCATGGTGTCTCCGTGCGCGCCCTGCAAACTCGGTGGGGCTGGCCAGGGACCTCCAGGATCTCGGGGAGAGCTCCCATTTGCCACCCTGTGTCTGGCCCTGCTCCTCCTCTGAGGTAGCTCAACTGTAAAATCAACACCACCCCAGAGAGGGACAGCTCTGGACGCCTGGGCCAGCTCTTGGGGAGGGGTTCAGAAAGGACAGGAGCGAGGGGCGGCCCGCTCTGTCCTCTTGGAGCAAATTGCCTCTGCTCTCGCCTGCACCGAAATCCGTCGCGGCCGCGCCCCCAGCGGAGCCGCCGGCGCCGCGCTCCCTCTGGGCCGCGTTCTGGCCACACCGTGTCCGGCTTTAGCAGGATACCAGAGGCACTTGCTAAAGCAAAAGCATCCCCTGCAAACCCATTCTCGCCCTGACACTTCAAGGCTTTTTATAGAAACAGGATTTGCTCGTCTGACACCAGCAGTCCCTATTAACGCGCACCCCGCGCACACCGCCCTAATCCGCGAGGCCGCCGCGCGCCCCGCGCCCCCCCTCCAGTCACAACAGCCGTTTTGTTCCCCGCAGAAAGTGCCTCGTTGTCCCAGCCCCGGAATGTCTTAAGGATGTGAATGCAGAAATGAGGTTTCCGCGGAATTTAGTTCTGCAGAAAGGGGTGGGGGAGGGTGGCAGGAGGGGAAAGGCTTCATTTTTAGCTGGCCCGGGGGCTGCCGCTCGGAGAGGGGACCCCCGGGAAGGCCGCTCTAAACTGCGCTGATCCGTCTCCAGGGCCGCGGGGGCGGGGGGGGGGCAGGGAGCCGCTCCACGCCCGAGCAGCCGCCGGCCCCGGAGCAGAGAAATGAAACCGAAGGCTTCTCGGCAAAGGCTCGGAAGAGAGAAGGGGCGGGTGCCTATTCGACCCCGGCGGTTCCCACCCCCCGCGGGGCCCCTCTCCCGCCCGGCAGGCACTGACCTGTGTGCGAAGCCATGGGCAGCGGCGACGGAAAGTACTTCCCCGGCTGGAAGTGCGCCGCAGGCTGCGCGGCGGGCCCGGCTGGGGCGAGGCGAGCGGCGGCTGCGGCGCTGCGGTGGCCCAGGCTCCCGCGCTCCGACAGCAGATGCGGCGGCGGCGCGAAGTCGCGGCCATCCATGCCGGGCCCCGGCCCCGGCCCGCCGCCGCCTCCCGGGAGCAGCACGGCCGGGGCCCGGGGGCGACTCGGCGCGCGGGCGACGCGCGGGCGGCGCGGAGGAGGCGGCGTCCGGGTCACCGGCGGCGGCGGCGGCGGGGCTGGTCAGCACGCCGGCGGACTGGGCTCCTCGGCAGGCGGCCGCGCGCCGAGCCGGCGGCCACCGTGCGGATCCATAGTCTGCAGAGGCAAGCAGAGGAGACTCGGTGACTTGGGGGCTCGGCTTGCCCGGGGTCCCCCCACCCCCAGCCCGTTCCCCTCGATCCCCCCCACCCATCCCCCGGCGGCCTGAGCCACGACCAGGCCCCACGGCCAGGCCGGAGTACTCGGCGCGTCTCCTCGCTGCACGCGCGCGAGCCGGGCCACCCGCACCCCGGGTCCCCGCGCGCACACGCACCGTCCCGGCCACGCTTGGCCCGGAGGAGCCTCGGGGAACCCAGGGCACCGCTCGCCGCTACCCCTTCGCGTCCCCGCGAGTTCCTGCGGCGAGGGCGCCGTGGCGAAAGGCTGCTGGCTCCGCGGGGTGATAAAATCCCAAATCTGCGAAGCCATCACGCGCGCGCGCACACACACACACACAAACACTCACACGCACACCCTCTCCCCTCCCCCGCTGCCCAGAGGTGTCTTCGTGGAAAAGGAGTGGGGTCCACGCTAGCTTTTTTTCCTCTCCCCTCATTGCGAGGTCCAGCTTTTACTGCATTCCGCTTAACCGAATAACCATGCTAATTAAGCGAGTAATTTTATTGATTGTAACTCAAGAGTTTTTTTTTATAACCTTCCGTTTCTCCCCTCTCCCATCCCCCCATGCGCTTTTCAATTCATTCTTTTGAACACACCGCCACCCCCCACCCCCCGCCCCAGCTCCAATGGGACTAGGCCCCCAGCCGCAGCACCGAGCCAGGACCCGGGGCCAGCTCCCTCGAGCCCCGGGCATTTGCGTCTGCCGCCGGCGTCACCTGGGCCGCCACGCCGCAATGCCGGGCCTGCTGTCCCCGAGCCCCGAGCTTCCTGGCGAGGCTAGAACAATCACTCCGCCCCCCAATCACATTCGCCCAGGATCTTCCTCTGCGGATTTGGGGCTTTGGGTGGGGGGACGCTTTGAGTGTCAGAAATTGTTTTCTCTCTCAATGCCCCCAGATCAGCCACGGGGTTTCTCTCTTGAGCGCCTGCTCAGGGTCGCCGAGCCGGCGCCGCTCTCCACGCGGTCGAGCGGCCCGGAGACGCGGGGTCTACTGCACCCCGCGCAGCCCTCGGAAACTGGGCCGTGCTCCGCGCAACCTTTGCCCCCGCCAGGGTCCCAGCAGACCCTGGGCTTCCGTTGTTCACCACCTCTCGGTAGGGCCTCATAAAAATGCCCCCACCTCCCTTCTCTTTCACCCCCTCCCAACGCGGAGAGTCCACTCCGAGTCTAAACTGGGGACCGTTTCAGACGCTGGGTGCGGAGCAAGCGACACAAACTGGATGACTGCACCCGCGTGGACTTCCTTAATTTTGCATACTTCTCATTTCCTAAACCTGCATTTTCATGTTTCCTATCACCTCTAACAAAAGGGAGCTGGGTAGGGGTAACAGTCTTAATTATGAACTTTGTAGAAAACCCTTAATTTCTTGTGCCGTCCCACCGTGACAACAAAGCGATTAAGATGTTTTCCATTCCGTGAACCTCATTTTAAATCGCAATATTCAATGCTACGGGCTCTACAACGTCTTATTTGCAGGCTATTTGGCGTTTGATTTAATCTATAACCGAAGACATAATGTATTAAGTGAATACATATTTGCTCAGCTGATAAGCATTTTTTAATATTTATTCGGAGAGCTTTTGCATGGTAAATAAAGGAGCCCTACACAATGAGTTCTCTTTGTCTCTCAACTTCATAAGGGGTTTGGGGCTTCCTCTCCTCTGGGATCGCCGGCTCTCTCCCCGGATCTAACAAATAACTCGGCCGCCGCCTCTCGGGCCTGCACTGCGAGCGCCAGGCCGCCAGGGCCACAGCGAGGCGGGAGCCGGGGCGCGGCCGGGACAAAGGGAAAGGAAGACCAGGGGGAGGTCAGAAACTTGTGGCTTCAAAGGAGCCGAGGGCCGGGGGCGGTGCGCGTGGGAGTCGTGTGCGCCACGCTTTTGTTTTGTGAGATTTCTTGTTTCCAATAAGAAATTTCAAAAATGTCCAGATAGCGCGAGCCGCTCCCATTCTCGGGACGCGGGCTTCGCCTCCAGCAAGCGATTTTAACTTCCACCTCCGGCGGGCGGAGCGCGGGCTGCACTGATCCCTCCTCGCCAGCTCGCTTTAGAGTTTTAGGCAAACCGGGCGGATTGTTGTGGCCCGTCTGTGCCGCTGCGATTCTTACTAGGTTAGAGGGGGCTTTTCTTTGTGTCCTCTGCTCCCGGGGAGAGGTCGCACCGCTCCTCCCAGTCTGCCAGCGCGCGGCTCCCGAGGCCTGCGGAACCCGAGAAGGGCAGGGATCGGGGCGGGGACGCGCGGCCTCGGAGGCCTGGGCCAGGAGCCCCGGAGTCCAGGCGCTGCCACTCGCGGGTCTCAGGGCTCCTAGTCACCCCCACCCCCCGCCTCCACCCCGAGAGGCCGCCACAGAAGACGGCGGCTCAGCCCCGGCTTGGGCCGATCTGAGGGAGGAAACGGAGCGCAGGTGGCGGCGGCGGGCAGGGGCCCTGCGCCGGCCAGAAAATCGCTGACAAGGGCATTTTGTAAAGAACCGAATCTCGGAACCAGGGCTCCTCCCCAGGGTGGCGCGGCGCGGTCCCCGGAGCCGACCGTCCCTTCTTCGCGTGGCTCGCGCACTCCAGGATGTGGGTGGGATCCCTTATGTTTGCTTTGATTTTAACTCACGCACCTCAAAACCCGCCCTTGCTTCGGCCTCCTGCTGAGGACGAAGACACCTTTCCGTCCGGCTCCCCTGGCGCCATCTCCGGGCGTGCGGGCGCCGTGGGGCCTGCGGGCTGGTCTGGGGCCAGGCGCACACCGGAGGCCGGCTGATCTAGCACCGCCGAAGAACCCGCTCCCTGCGAAACGCCCCTCACCCCGTCCCCCGAGAGAGGACCCGCGCCGTACCCCCGCGCCTGGAGGCGCACCCACCCACAGACCCCCGCCTCGCAAGCCGTGGCCTGAGCCCCGCGCGCTGCCCGGAGCTCATCCGGCGAAAACGCCCTGCTGTGCTGGCCTCGCTCAGCCCCCTCCTCCACCCTCACCCCACCCCCCGAAAATATGAATTAGGCTCTGGAAAGCGAAACCTGAAAAACTCGCCATTATCTGTCCCCGTCCCGGCCCCTCGCCCCGCACCAAGCCTTAAAGCCCCTCTTGGTCAGCGGCCTGGACCGCCTGGGCCACTACGAGCCGGCCGGTTCCCCGAGCCGCGGAGCGATCGGGAGGGGCCGACCAGTACTGCTCCAGGGAGGGGAGGGGGGGGCAAACAATCGGGGTTCGTTTGTGGTGCCACCGGAGCCGGCGCGCGTTGGCGGCGTCCGGGACCTCGGCGACTGTCAGCCCGCAGCCGCCCGCGCGGTTCGCGTGGGACGCAGCCTGATGGTCCCTGTCCTGTCGCGATTATTTATTTTTAATGCTGGGTGTGGATCGAGACAACAAGCGCTCAGAGCAAAGCAAGGACGCATTACGAGGGGAATTTTAAACCGATCGATAAGATTTTTCAGAGGAAAAAAAATCGCTTATATATTGTCCATCTTAAAAAAAAAAACCTGCTCGACATTATAACGGATTTTTAAAAAGGGAGGCTATATATTTCTTAACATCACAACCCTGATTCTCTCTTGCTTAAAAATGTAAATCCCCAAAGCCAAAATAAAAAATAAAATAATAATAAAAATACAAAAACAAAAAAAAAATGAAAGCAATTTCAGTTACTTACTGGAGGCTGTTTCCTGGATACAATTGAATGCAATACAATTAAACCAGTAAATGTGACTTTGTTTTGTATTCCTATTGGTATTTTCAATGTGCTGACTGTTGCACTGTAAATGCACCGCTTCCACAACAACGACTCTAGCGAGCCCATCCAGAGCGGCTCTCAAACCTGCAGCCCGGCGCGGCGAGCCACAGGCCCTGCATACTAATAAGCTCGTGCCACTCAGACCCGAGCAGCCCGCGCGCTGATTGGCCGCTAGGCCCTCCGCGGCCGGGAGCTCGTGCCACTCATTCCGCGTAAACAGGCCTCCCAATAGGCTGGCGCCAGGCCAAGGAGCTGCCAATCAGGGAGCAGCAGGGCTACTACCGAGCCCGTTGGCGCTTAATTCAAGCCCCGCGACTGCGCAGCTCCTTTGCGCAGATCGTTGCTGCTGAATGGGAATGTGGTGGCGCAGGGCGGGAGAGGGAGCAGGGGCGAGTGGGAGCTCTTGTCCGCGCGTAGGGGGAGGCTTTTTTTTTTTTTTTTTTAATGTAATCCAGTAGGTCTAACGTTTGGCTTCTGGTACACAGAGTACAGAAGAAGAAGAAACAGCAACACGCTTTAAAGCAGATGCTTTTTTTATACTTGGGATCTGTTTGGCAGGTGGCTGAATCGGGGCGCAGGTAGGCCTCAGCTCCAAGTAAAAAATTCCTCCGGTTCCTGGCCCTCCCACCACTCTGGGGCCTCTGCCCTCTCGGACAGAACTCAAAAATACCCGCATCCCCGCGGCCTGGGGAGCACGGGCTCCAGTCACCTAACTGGACTATTCTTCCTCCTGCCCCAGGAATCAGACCCCAGGGAGAGAGTCCTGCATTTCTGGTCATCTATCTGCGGACCCTCTTTTGGTTGCACTTTGCAGCTGAGCACCGCTCAAAATGAAAATCGAGGATTTATAGCCAAGACAAAGATTGCCCTATTTTCATCTGCAACTAGATTTTAAAAAATATGTCCACCTTGATAATGCATGGAGTGAAAACCATGCAGAGTATTTCTCAATGCCACTCTCATGAAACCTCGCTAAATTCTCGCCCCAACTAAAAAGAGCC